AGGACGATTAAACGTGAAATTGTTCCACTTGATGAAGCGCGGTACAGTATAGTTGATAAGAGATTAGAGAAAACGATCGAAACCCTAACATTTACATTGTCTTTCTTAAACTCAATGTAAACTGTCGAGTGTAACGCGTCAAATATTTTGTTGAGCGCGAAGCGATAAAAGGAAGAAGTGCGCAGAATCCGAACTTCGGAAACGGTCGGAAAAATTCGGGTAGAATCGTGCGCGATCGCGGCACTCGTATCGTACGAGTTTTCTGATCGACAATAATCGGCTAAAAAATAATAGTTCAAGTTAGCAAATTTTTGCTAACGATTCGCGAAAAGATAAAATTTAAATGTGATATTAGATTAGATCAAACTCGAAAATAAGATACTTCATACGGATTGTTAATTCAGTTAATTATTTTACGATATAAGAATTTCTAATTTCAATATTTTTTAAAGAATATTTGATATATCGTGATAATTTTTATTCCAAATAAATACATGTTTCTTCCCTAGTTAACGATTTAATAACGATTTCAGTTTATTATAACGTTTAAAAACAAGATTGAAACGTTACAATTTTCACACCGTGGTAGACACGTCATTGACACGCAATTAAGAATCATCCTGTAATTTTTGGTGAAAAAGCGGAACGGCTGAAAGCGGGACCCGCTACCGAGACATTAATTTACCATTACGTCAAGGTAATCAAGTTAAATTTTCACAATGGCAAACGAATTTCATCCGGTCGGTACTCGCCGCTACCATCAATTTTGCAGCTGCGCGTGACGTTTACAATTCGCCTAGATTAATCGTTCCGAAAGTTCTCAGGATATCAGCGTTTCGTGCCTCGTCCGATGCCATTGCGCTTCTCCCATACTCCCATGCTCTTTCGTGTATCGTTCGAGAGTTTTTCCCATTCCTCGTGGCGTATATTGGCAGAATGAAGAAATATTCCACACGGATAAAAGGATATACGTTTCGTATAACGAGTAGTTCCTTTTTTTTTTCTTTCTTAAATGATTCTATCCAAACTTATTTTTATTCTATTCTTACTTTCGAACGATTTCTTTTTCTTTTTCGTCCTCTTTACGTCTTTCGTTTTTCAAAATTCGTTTTCTTAAATTTAAGTTTTTTTTCAACACTTTCAACATTTTTCTCGAATTATTTTAAAATCGATTATATTTCTCTCTCGTGATCCAGCAGAGAGACAAGGAAGAGGGAGATTTTTAAAATTCACACCGTAATTCAATGATTCATGTATCAGATAGTGGAACACGGATAATTAATGAGCTATTCGAGGAAAACAGAGCGGGTGGTAGCAATTTTACGCGCTTTAAATAGTAACCGATAATTGATTTATGAACGACCTAACAGTTGCTTCGTGTTTTCGGAACAAAGCTCTCTCTCTCTCTCTCTCTCTCTCTCTCTCTCTCTCTCTCTCTCTCTCTCTCTCTATCCGCGTGGAAACTTTTCGAACGAATTGTGTATCGTGGCAAGGAACAATTAAAAACTATCTTTCCAGCTTATCGCGAATGAATATTTCCTTCCCTCCGCAAGCTTGTATCACGAAATATTTCGCATTAATATTCTCGTATCGACATTTGTAAGCTTCTATTTTAATTATTTCCTTGCGCCACCCGGTTATCTCGATTTCACCGGCTCCCATATTTTCTTCCATTTAGCTTCAATTTCAATTTTGTCGTTTCCAATTATCAATATGCCGAAAATATTACCGATACATGGTGGAACACATTTAATCGATAAAAATTAATAGGTGGATGAAACGGTGATTGAAGATATTGCGAATGAAAGAAAAGTCTTAATTGGTAATATATAAATTTATGTTAATCAATACGTTAATTAATATTGCGTAATTGGGAAGAAATTTTATTTGTTTCTTTCAAAATAAATCAGGGAACAGGATTTTCAGGATTATATCAAAATTCTCTTATTTTTTTAAATGATAAATGTGGATTTATTATTTTCAATGATTTCGAATTTAGATTCGAAAATTAACGAGAGGGCACAAGAAAATTCTTCAAAATTAATTGGCAAATATAAAAAGTATAATTATGTCGACGCACATATTAAAATCTGCAAAGTTTATCAAATAAATCAAAATTCTTTGAGCAATGAAATTCCTAAAATGATCGTTGAAATACCCTACTTGAAAGATTATTCTCATTGGCTACATTCAATCAACATTGTATGAGAAAACTACACTTTAACGCAACCAAAATCCGCAAAATATAAAATAAATCGAAAATGATCGACGCTATTTAATCATCACACTCGAAAAAATCCTATAATTAGAAGAAAATACAAGCGTTCGAAATGAATCAAAACTCCTCGAACAAATCCTTAAAAAACACTCGTTAAAAGGAATTATTTATCCACTCGAAAAATTATTCTCAACTATTTTTACAAATACTTGAAAAATAAAAATTTCAAAAATTTGCTATTCAATCATCGAAAAAAGACTATCCTCAACGAACATAATCACGCTCAAAAAATTCTCAACTATAATTACAATCATTTATAGAAAAAAACTCAAATTTAGCGTTCAAGAAAAATCATAAACCTCAAAATCCTAAAATCGTTAAAAGGAATTATTTATCCCCTCGAAAAATTATTCTCAATTACACTAAAAAAAAAAAAAAGACAAATCCGAAATTTCGAAATACACAACTTCACAAAAATTTGATCACCGAAAGAAACTATTCCATCAACAGCAGCACACAGAGAACGACAAAACGTCCTGTTCGACGGGCCGTCTTTCATCGTCGGTCGAGTCCAGATCTCGGACCCAGGAACCAAGGTAAACACGGAGAGAAGTGGATCGGATATTCGCGGTTATGAAACGCAAATTTCGAATTCCACGACCGGCTCCACGAGGTAGTAGCACGTATGGACACACACAGGTATATATATATATATAGAGAGAGAGGAGGATACGTTTCGACGTAAAAGGCCAAGGGACACACCGAGCAGCTCGATCAATAGCTCGAGAAAGTGGCGGCCGACGACGACCAACGTTTCTGTCTGGGCATCGATCCTCGCGTGTCCCGCGTATACGAGTACTACTTACTTTCCGTCTCTTCTCCCTACCGTCCTCTCCCTGCGTTTCCTGTATTCGTTATCGACGACCTCGGCGTCGACCTTCGTCGAGACGAGTGACACAGTGACGAGGGCAGAGAGAGAGAGAGAGAGAGAGAGAGAGAGAGATATAAAAGGGGATCGAATCGAGGGGTAGTTGTCGATGCTAATGACTTGTTTTAAGGGAGGTTGCAGATTTCTTGGGAGAGACATTGTTACTTGGGGAGAATACAGAGGAAATTTAGCAAAGCAAATAGGTATTGAAATTTTCTATTATTCGTGTTAATCTGGAAGTAACGAAAATTGGAAAGTTTCTTCGAAAATTTTTTCAATTTCTCAATCTATCGATCGTACAATTTTTTTTTTTTTTTGTCTTTGGAGGTTTAAGGAGGATCTTTTTTAGAAATTTATTCAGATTGTAGAATGATTTATATATTTATTTTCGTAGATTTAAAATTCGTATCGCGTTTGGGGAAAAAGATCGAATAAATAAATGAAAGCAGGGGAGAGAGAGAGAGAGAGAGGAATAAGATGGAAAATGAAATAAGAACGATTCGTCATCGGGCCACGACGTTCCCAGGATCGTTCAATCTTGCCTCGTTTCGCGAGAATTATTTCATACTCGAATTATGTTCTGGCCATCGAGAATGTCATCCCCTTTCTGCATCCATTCGCGCTTGTCACACGAGGACGAGAATGGCGTTTCATTGCCAAATTCGGTCGATCGTGCAGTCACGATTTCCGCTCCATCCTTTATATATATATTATCTGATAATATTTCCTTTTCTTGTCTTTGTTCAATTTATTTACAGATTGTCGACAACTCTGGTGCTCAACAACTCAACGTGTTGAGTTACGTGAAAAGGAAATTTGTAAAAGCGTGAATCTTTTGTCGGTAGAACGAAGATAGAGGAATCGAACGATTCTTAATGCGTAATCGTACGTTGCAAGAGTGACGTAAATACGGTTCAATAAGTAAGAAATATTCCTCGAATAAATCGAATTGTGTCATCGAATAAATTTAAATATATGAGAATGAATAATAAATAACACGATACGAAATTATCGGAAGAATTGTGTTTTGAAGAATTGTGCTAATTGCGAAAAGCTCAATTAATATTCGTGTTAATATTCATAGCATTAAATAAATTTTCTAATAAATCGCCAAATTCCGCATTATCAAGTCATCAAGCTTTATATTTCAAAAAAAAGAATTACTTTACTTCAGTTCATAGAAAAAGAAGAATCAAATCAATTAATAAAAATTTGATTCTACGTTCACAACTCACAATCGATTTCATCGTTCAAAATTCTTTTTAATTTAAGAAACAAAATTTTTCGAATCGATCGACGATAATGACGAGGAATACTGAAAAGAGAGAGAGAGAGAGAAAAAGCGGTGGCAACGCGATTAACCGATTCGTCGATGAATTTTTTCCCCCGCGAAGAACTCCGGAGAACTCGGCGCGCGCGGATTAAAAATAAATGCCGCGAGACAATTCAATTCCGCCCGATTATCGGGAGCGGTGTAGTTAATAGAACCGCAGCAAGATTAAAGTACCTCTTGCCACGCGGTGGACTAATGAAAATTCGGTTCGTTATCGAATATTGCGATAAACTGGATTACCGGATCCGGGGAGAAGAGAAAAAGAGAAAGAGAGAGAGAGAAAAAATCGAATAATTAAATTAACGAGGCTTTTTGACCAACGGTGATCGCTCGACACTTGTATCGAGACTCGATACAAAGATTCCTTTTTTCCTTTCTCTTCTTTAAACGTATCGCAATCACGAGTTTCTTTGAAGTGTATATAATATTTGTAATCGTTTTTCACCCCCCAAAAAATATATAATTTATCTTTTGAAGAGGGAGGATAAAAGTTTCTAGAATAAAATTTTTTTTTTTAACAGTTTGCAAAGCAAAGGAATCTTCTCGCATGTGTCTGGAATTTTTCTAAAAGAAAAAATTCGTCGGGGACTCTCACTAAACTATGCAGAGGATAATATGATGAGAATTGAGGGACGAGTTTAATTAGAATGGTAAAGTTAAAGTTATATATTCACGTAGCCATTTCTCGATGCCTGCGAACGTTGATACGACTCGTGAATACGCTGAAGGGGGCTTACCTCTATGACTTCCGGTGATCTTGTCGCGCAAGATGTTTATCTGATGCACCCGACCGAACTCCTCGAACAACTTCCTCAGATCGTTTTCATCCATATCGTGAGGCACCTGGCCGACGAACATTTTTATGTTGTCGGGATCTGGTTGCTCCACGCTATTGTTGTTCATTATGCTGCAACAAAGAAACAAATCCATCAGTTTTTCCTCTCTTATTAATTTATTAAAACAGTTTATACCATTTAATACCATTTAAAATTTTTGTAAATTTTATTTTAAATTCAATTGAGGAGTTTGAAAGAAAAAAATTCGATATATTTGTTATCGATATATGTTCTTTTTGTTCTGCCGTGAATTTTTCTTCGAATAATGCAAAATATTTAATTACAACATCTCGAATGAATCGCATATTAATATATATATATATATATCCAATGATTAACAAGTTCACACGAGATCAACACGTAAATTAAAATTAAATCTTCTCAGATTCAAATCTATTATTTTTTTTAAACATAAACAAGTATCTAATTATTAGTTTTATTTATTACTGGTTTCAATTTATAGACTAAAAATGTTTATTTGCATATATATATATTTCCTTTCTAAATTAAAATTAAACCTTCTCAGATTCAAATCTATTATTTTTTTTAAACATAAACAAGTATCTACTTATTAGCTTTATTTATTACTCGTTTCAATTCATAGATTAAAAATGTTTATTTACATATATATATATATTTTCTTTCTAAATTAAAATTAAATCTTCTCAGATTCAAATCTACTATATATTAAACATAAGTATCTACTTGTCACGAGTTATTAGTTTTATTTATTACTCGTTTCAATTCATAGATTAAAAGTGTTTATTTACATATATATATATTTTCTTTCTAAATTAAAATTAAATCTTCTCAGATTCAAATTTATTACGTATTAAACATAAACAAGTATCTACTTGTCACGAGTTATTAGTTTTATTTATTACTCGTTTCAATTTATAGATTAAAAGTGTTTTCGAAATATCGATCGGAAAATATATATATATATAAACTGGTATCGTAATCACGAATTTCACGGGTTCTTCGATTTAACGATATTATCGATATTACACGCGAGCTATAAAAGCAGAGCCCCCTCGAAAGCATGATACTTATGAAGTCGCTGGATTAACAAACATTTTCATCTGTTCGAGCACACTCGAACATGTACGATATTCGTTTTAAGAGTCGTCTGCACGCACGCCCGCATACCGATCTCATTAACCGAGAACGATAAAAAACGCTTAAGCGTTCGATTCGAGTGTAGCAACGCCAAATTAAAGAAAAGGGGGAGGAAAAAAAGAAAAAGAAGAAAGGCGAGTGGAAAAAATAATTTGCACATATTCGGAGGGATGGAGATTGAAATCGCGGAGATTAAATCGTCGTGAATAAACATTTGAGAGAGATTTCAATTTGGCCCTATCATCTGTGTTTAGAAAAAATTTTAAAAACGCACGCAAGAGCGGAATCGAGGGATGTTTTAAAAAAAAAAACTGACGATTTTTTTTTAAATTATTTCCAATTTGTATAAATAAAATTGTTCCATACTTTTAAATAGAGATAAAAATATGAAATGTATACGCGGTGCATTCGAAAAAGTGGTTTCCATTTTCTGATTCATCAATGTGTTTATCATTCCTCTTTTTTCCACATTCGTCTCAACACGTTTCTTTCGAAATATCCAAGGTTTTTTTCTTTTTTTTTTTAAATATCCTCTCCATCCACCGAGTCTCGAAGTCTCAAACTTTTTGGTTCCAAAAGAAAGAAGGGAAATTTATCGTTGATTTTTAATGCGAGAATAAAAATAAGAAAATTGAAAGAAACAAAGAAGAAAATGAAATGGTTCTGCGACTCTATCGAAATCGATGAAAGTATTAATTCTATTCAGTTTATTTACTTAATTCTCATGAAGATGCAGAACAGTTTGTGCGTCATTTTTAATAGAGAGAGAGAGAGAGAGAGAGAAAGAGAGAGAGGGAAATTAAGAAAGAAAGAAAAGAAAAAAATGAAAGAAAAAACTATACGGAGAAAATAAAAAGGAAAAGAAAAAAAGGAGAGAAGATCTACTGGTTGAGAGCCCACATTTTTGACATTTCTACATCATAAATAATAAATATATAAAATTTAGACGCTCTTCCTCCATATATATAATATCAACTATCCCTATCAGATTATTGGACAATATTAAAAAATAAAATTCTGAAGAAAATAAAATTTTCTTCTATTCTAATTTATATTTAAAAACCTTAACCTTAACCCCTCCTCGCATCTTACGAAGGTGTCTCGCATTGTTTGGGGATCCTTTTTGCGTTTAATTAGGCGCACATTCACTAATTCGACGGTCACTTGCTTTTAAAACTTGGCCGCCAATTTTCGTTTGTTCATGATTACACGCGTTTGAAACGCGTTCCCAGTGGGATAGCCACGCTGTGGATAGCTGAAATCTCATCCAAACGGATTATCTTCCAGGCCTGTCCGCCCACGTATCCCCCTCATAATTTTCTGGCTGCCCGTGTCACCTCAATCGGTTCACGGTCGAGTTTCGCTGACCTCAAAGCAAAGGAGACCGTGCTACGCCACTTTTCCAAACGTTTGAACGCTCGAGTCGCGTGACTAATTGAGAATCAACAACGAGTATATATATATATAGGGAGTAAGGGGATGAAATGGTGAACGTGATATTAAGCAAATTTTAAAAGAACTCTATTTTTTAATTTTTATTATCTTGTTGCAGATATATACGTTCGAAAATCGCATCGAATTATTTGCAACTCCATTAAAACGATATCAAAAAACACTTTGATATCGAGGGATACAAGAACCAAGAATTATGTGCTCACTGTATCACTATCGAAATCGACAACTTCGTACACGTTATCAAAATATGAATCAATTCGAGATCTACGAATGGACGTCTCAATCAAATCAAATTGAACTCACTTTTGAATTCAGATCGAAGAATATATACGTAAGAATTAACAACATAGTATACAATTCAAAAATCGCATCGAATTATCCAAGGATACCGCCAAAATATCTCAAAATAAATTCGAGATCTAGCATCGAATTATCCAAGGATCAACGATACCACCAAAATATCTTAAAATTAATTCTAGAGCTACGAATAGGTACAAAGACACCTCACCAATCAAATCAAATAGTTAACAACGTAATATACAGGTCAAAAATAGCACCGAATTATCTAAGGATCACCAATCAAATCAAAGGGTTAACAACGTAGTATACAATTCAAAAATCGAATTACTTTAATTATCAAGAATACCATCAACAATATCTTAAATTTGAGACCAACGAATGGGTAAAAGAGTATCTCACCAATCAAATCAAAGACTTAACAACGTAGTACACAATTCAAAAATCGCATCGAATTAGCCAAGGATCAACGATATCGTCAAAATATCTTAAAATTAATATTGGAAAAAGAGTATCTCACCAATCAAATCAAAGGGTTAACAACATAGTATATACAATTCAAAAATCGCATCGAATTACTCCAATTATCAAGAATACCACTAACAATATCTTAAATTCTAGATCTACGAATGGGTAAGAGGACATCTCACCAATCAAATCAAAGGGTTAACAATATAATATAGAATTCAAAAATCGAATTATCCAAGGATCAATGATATCGTCAAAATATCTGAAAATCAATTCGAGATCTAGCATCGAATTATCCAAGGATCAACAATACTTTAACAAATATTTTATTTTTATTAGCCAACAAATATTTTAAATTCAAGACTTACGAATAGGTAAAATGGCGTCCCACCAAATCAAACACAAAGGGTTAACAACGCAGTGTACAATTCAAAAATCGCATCGAATTACTCCAATTATCAAGAATTATCAAGAATACCACTAACAATATCTTAAATTCTAGACCTACAAATGGGTAAGAGGACATCTCACCAATCAAATCAAAGTGTTAACAATATAATACAGAATTCAAAAATCGCATCGAATTATCCAAGGATCAATGATATCGTCAAAATATCTGAAAATCAATTCGAGATCTAGCATCGAATTATCCAAGGATCAACAATACTTTAACAAATATTTTAAGAAATATTATATATATATTTTATTTTAACAAATATTTTATTTTTATTAACCAACAAATATTTTAAATTCAAGATTTACGAATGGGTAAAATGGCGTCCGACCAAATCAAAGGGTTAACAACGCAGTGTACAATTCAAAAATCGGATCGAATTATCCAAGGCAAAATACCTTAAAATCAACTCGAGTCGAGTCGAAAGCTCGACAACTCCTTCCGCTCCCTCGCAGCTGTTGAAAACCCGTTCGAGCGCTTGGCCGCCAAAATCGCGGTTCAAAAATTTGGGCCGACGACTCTCAACTTATATATATATAATTATTAAAATGAATAATATAATATAAATTTACAAATAAATTTTTATTAAATATAAATTAAATTATTTAATTTAAATAATAAATTAAATTTATAAATTTAAAATTAAAAATCTTATAAATTAAAAATAAATTTATAAATATAATTTAATAATCTCAAACTATATATATATATATATATAATATAAATTAAAAAATTTTTAAATTAAACTTATTACCCAAATTAAACCTAAAAAATTATAAATTAAAAATAAACTTAAAAATATAATATAATAATCTATATTAAAAAATTATAATAAAAATTTTATTTATTTCAAACCAAAAAAAAAAATATAAATCTATAAATAAACTTTAATAATCTAAATTAAAAAATTTTTAAATTAAACTTATTTTCCAAGGGGGTGGTGGATTCACCCTCCTCGATCACCATCGCCTATCTTTAAAAACTTTAAAAGTCACAGGCGCCCCCTCCTTCCTCCCTCGTGGCCAAAAAAGATCGAAAAATCGTCACCGCTCAATAATTAATGAGACGAAGTGAGGGGGTCGCGATAATCTCGTTTCGTAGTTGCGTGTCCATTATCCGGCGTTGCGCCACGTAATAGCCCCGTGATAGCGTCCGCGCGCCGGTAATTTTGTGTTTTTGGTGGTTTGTGGATATCGTGGTCGTGGTCGGTGGGAGGGCGGCACGCGGACGTTTCGGTGATCGATAAGGGTGTGATTGAAGGGCGCTGCGGTTTAACCCTTGACACAGGGATGAGATTCGAGATCGAAATTTCATTATTTAACCGAGTTTTCCTTATAGAAGTCGTCCCTTCTCTGATAAAATTACGTTTATCCACTTTGGAAAAGTGAAAAAGTGGGAGCGTCTTCGATGATTTGGATGAGAAAAGGTGTATGTATATGTTTATTAGACGTGCAAATAAGATGTGTACGTAATGTAATTATTTTCGGCCATTTTCATTGATACTTATCGGGAAGAAATCTGAATAATTTAATTCTTTCGCCATCATTGAGAAGAGAATTGGAGAAAATTAAAATTCTGTCCCATTATCGTTTATTATCTAGCTCTAGAATTAGCCAAAAGGAAAATAAAATTTGCTATAATAATAAGTTCTTTTCTTTCCAAATTCAAGATTTTATTGCGTAAATCGGGTACAAGAGTGTTCAATTGTTTGCACCTGCGAACGATCGTCGTGTTGCAAACTAAAATTTCCCAATCTTTGCTACCACTTTTTGCTCTGTAAGACATTCCCTCTCAATGGCGCGCAAACTGTTTCAGTAGCTTCCTAAACTGGAATCTCTTGGAGTCTTCTTAAAAACGAAAGAACGTTCTTTTGCATGGCGCCGTAAACAGAAAGTGATTCGAATTCGATTAAAACTTACGATCGTAGAGAAGAAAGAAACTTATTTGCAAGTCTAACAAAAAGAGATATGAATTTCGAAAAAAATCGATCAAAATCGAAGGTCAAGGTTCGACGAGCCTCATTCGATCAACGCTGCAAACGTATGAGCCAAATGATATGATAAAACTTTTATTCACCTTCGATCAATTCCTCTCCCATTCATCATTCAAGTTTCTCTCCCTTTTCTACTTTTCATTCGTAAGTATTTCCTTTGGAAACGTTACTGAAATTGATACAACGTTATTTCTAACTCAAAAAGACTTGCTCTCCAAAACATTCCAAAAAGGAGAAAAAGGCCGCTCAAGAGAAGATCCAAGATTGAAAGGCGATGATAATACTTTGTATATTTTTAATAAAATTTCTTCTGGATTAATTAACCAATCCCACTTTCAATAACAATAATAACAACACACACCCCCGAAGAAGAAGAAGAAGAAGAAGAAGAAGAAGAAAAGAATTATAATTACAATAGGAGTCGAAGGTAGGGAAGAAATTTATCAGCAATTAATCCTGAGACTTTATGAATCGGAGGGGAGGAGGAGGGGGGGACAAGAATTCTTCGTCTTTTGCGAGATCTGATCCCTTCTTGGTATGCGCGGGGGGAGAGGGAGAGGGAGGGGGAGGAAAAAGAGTCGGGGAATTTCGCGAAACGAAAGGAGAAAGTTAATATTAGTTGGGGAGGTTTAAAGCGATTTTCCAGCCGGCCGGCTCCTCTCATCTCGATCCATGGAGAGGATGGACTCGAGAGGGAGGGAGGGAGGCAGAGAGTTACAATGCCACCGCGCGGACTCTCCTCTCCCCTGGGGGGACAGACTCGCTTCCCCCTATGCGCGACCTTGCTTATCCCTTTTTTTTCGAACGGGTGAGGGGTTGGTTCTGGAAACTGGGCTAAACAGGCGAATCGTGATTTGTCTTTTTACCCCCTCCCCCCCTTTTTTAAGGGGAAATTTCGACGCGGTGAATTAGTGAAATCGATCGGTTGAATATGATCACGAACTCGTTTCGAAGATATTTCTTTTTAATTATTTATATTTATATTTATATATATATAACAGTTTTTTTGGGGGGAAAATTTTAAAAATTCATGGATTTGTTTGTAATGGACGAAGGAAATATTAACAGGGTAGGTAGGCGTGGAAAGTAATGGAAATTCGAAAGTGTTGTTTTCGAAAGCAATGAATAACTAAAATAACTCGTTAAAACGCAGGGAAAAACGCGTGCCGAGGAATAATAATTGCTTTGGGATGGCAAAAAATTATACGCGGCCGGCGTTGTTGCGCCGTTAACAATGAAAAAATACATACGGGGACAAAGTTGGCAAAAGAGATATTTCCATACTCGAAACTAATTTTAATCCCTCCCTCATTGTCCACAAAAATATGGGGAATATACACGTTGTAAGGAAACGTGGTGTAACGAACTTTCCCTCCACTCAAATTGTTGTAATACGAATATATTACGGAATATTACGTGAACGTGACGTTTACGACAATTGCATGTATAAAAGGTAAATTTATAAATAAACAGAGGGGAAAAAAAGAAACGTTTAACGAGAATTAAAAAGAAGAAGAAGAAGAATAGGATTTTAATCGTATGCACAAAAAGTAATTAAATCCGATGAATCTGTTATTTCGATTGTAATTGTTGTTTCAAACTTTTGTTTGTTTTTAAAAATAATCACGTATATAAATTGATTTCATTCAAAATTCTTTCAATAGATATTACTTACGTGCCAAAGTTAATTAAATTCGTTGTTTCGCATATATATATATATTTCTTTTAAGTTAATTAGAATAATTAAGTTACGTTCTCCGACGCAAAGTTTATAGTTAACCTTAGCATTTATTTCGAAACGGGAACTAATTACACGTTTGAGGGGTAAAACTATAGAGCGCCAATTATGGAACAATTTGTTGAAATATTCAAAATGTACTCGATAATTTCAGGTTTCAAAGGTATCCCTGATATTCGAGAGACGACAAGGACAAAGCTACGTGGATGAAAATTTTAATTTTACACGAAAGTTTTTAGTCGTGCGTTTTCCGAAATTGCTTTTTATTTTTTGTTAGAGGTAAAAAAAAAAAAAAAATTCCTTTTTTCCCGTGACATGACAATTCAAATATCTTACAACAAGAACGCTATGATCGTAGATCATTATATTTTTTTTCTATTAATTAGTTTATTATTATCATGGGTCAGAAGGATGGCTCGAATATTGCACAAAAAGGGGTGAAAGTAACAAGAAGGGAAGGGAAATAATTTAAATTTTATTCGAATAATTGAATAATTTGAAAATTTCTTTTAATTCACTCCATTAGGATAACTAGGAAGTGTTGTTGTTGTTGTTGTTACTTGTTATTATAATTATTTCGCCGGTAATTCAACGGTAATTCAATTTCCAATTAATTTATAGAAAATAATTGATTTGGAACATGCATAATTTAGTAGAAATAGAATGTTGTGTAAACTATTAAAACAGATGCTATGTTATTAATTATATTATATATTAATTATCAGTTATGCATGTTTGATATTATTAATCAATTAAACTGGACGAATACTGCTCCCAGTGAAATATTTTCCTCCATGTAATTCAGAAATTGTATTTGAATAGAAACGATAGATAAATTAAATGTTTACCGTGATACGTAGTATAAACCACCAGTTTATCATTATCACAGAGAGAGAGAGAGAGAGAGAAAATTAATTTTACTCTGTAACATTATAAAATTAATATTCGATTTTAAATATCATTTTCTTTACCTACGAACAAAAATTTCGAAAAATTCATCCATCAAAAATAGAGATTCGACAACTAGAGACACGTATAATTCTACGATTCCAACTTCTCCCAACTTCGTCAAAATTCGTATCCGTTCACCTTCACACGTAAATCCTTCATCAAAACAACAAATCAGAATTTAACTCCAATCGCAAATCCCTCGAAATCCCCCGTCTTCTAATAAACTTCCCCAAAGTAAAAATTACAACAACGTATCCGGCAACATATTCCCTGCATCCATTTCTTAATTCTCTCTCGCGCAAAACTTTTTACAAAACCAAAAAAAAAAAAAAAAAAACTCCTTTTAGAGTCCTCGAAGCATCATCCAATGATCGTCAAAAATCTCAAAATTTCACAATGCAGCCCCAACGAACAAATATCCTTTTTAAAGTAAATAATAAATCCCTTTTAATAAATAAAGTAATAATAATAATAAATAATAATAATAAATAAAGTAATAAGTAATAAGTAATTTTGAAATTTTTCGAGGCGAGGAACCCAAAGGACATCGTCGATGCACGTGTCCACCACGGACTTAATCGCGCCAGATTGCGCGCAATCGTACGCAATAACAAACCGAAATCGGTGTCACGTGGGCGCGCGATTACGCGCTAATCGATGAACAATAAATCGACGGTTACACGGGGATAATGGAAACGCAGTAAATCTCGAGGCGCATTCAAGACGCATAGCGGCAACAAATTACGACCCTCCCTCCTTGCAGCGCCCGCCGATATCGCCTCGACAATAATGGCCGCCTTATCCTTAATCGCGGAACGCTCAATTATCAAGGCCGCCGCGACGGAGGATTACAGCGGCGAGTGAATGTAATACAGGTTGTCGCGATTCTAATCTTATCGAGAGAAGGA